CCTAGAATCACCTCTGAGCAGGTGGGAGGACTAGATACATGAATGGATGGATGGATGGATGGATGGTTGGATGGGTGGATGGAAAGATGGGATTGATATTGCTGGGTCTCTAGACTCTAGAAACGATTCTCTTTCCTCCTGACTTGATATCTTGTGTACATTTTGGCCTCTTTCTCTCTCTTGCATGTGATCATCTGCAGGACCGAGCAAAGATCTTTCTCCCTTCCCTTCTCCCTTATATTGCTTCTTCAGGAAGATCCTGGCTCTACCGATTTGCATCCAGGAGCAAACTCACAGGTAGACGATTACATGGGATGTGCAGAAGAGTGGCCAGCCCTACCCACTTGAGGGTGTAGTTGGCACTTTGCATTCATGGATCATATCCGTAAATCCCTGAGTCTGGTCTGAGCATCAGCTAATAGAACACCAGCTCTGTGCCAGCCTTTGATATCTTCTCTACAATCTAACACTCATAATCTGGAAATATCCTAGTCCCATTTGTCTCAACAAAGAAATTCCTTCCTCAGACAAATTCTCTTCCATACCAAGAATCCCTCTAGCCTGTGTCCCCGTCACTCATCTTGACCAGATAATCCTTAAAATATGAACTGTTCTGATCAAATTATATTTGAAAGGCAAAAAAGCAATCCATGATACTTCTTGCTAAGTGGCCAGTGGAGCTCATAGGGATATCTCACTCCTCCTTCAAACACATAGATGCCTTTTAAAAAAGAAATTATTTTAAAAAAGATACAAAACACAGAACTAAATTAGAAAGCTAGATAAGGGGTTATCCAGATACCAGAAGCAAAGAGTGGGGGGTAGAGGTCTGTGGCCCAAGTGAAAGGCTAATAAATATACATGCCCAAAGGTCTGCAGGACTGATTCTTTCTTGGGTTTAGGTGATAATGGTTGTGACACCGCCATAAAGCTGGAAGCAGGAGGTAGATCCCTCTCTAAGAGGAATTGTAAGAGATAACCATGAAACTGATCCTGGGACGCAGGTTTGTGGATCTATTCTTTAAAATGGCCTTCCTAAGATGAGCAGGAACATGCAAATAGGGTGTGTTAGTCTCTAGAAAATTGAGCACATTCAGCCTCAGAAATTAGAAAATCTCAACACCAAGGATGAGGAAGCAGCATGCATCCTTCAGCGCCAGAGATTACTGTGTGAGCCAGACCGCAGGTCAGCTTTGGTCATCTTCATGCTGCCCTTGATTTTATTATTTGGGATCCTGCAGAAGCCTGTTCTCACTAAAGAGGATTCAGAGATCAATCTTACCAAGTGCAAGAGAAAATCCAGTGCTATGAAGGACAATAATGATATCAAACCCACACTGGGCTTTACCATATAAATTCCATGTAAGTTCCAGCTTCTAGGGATTTTCTGAGGACTTTAACATATAAATTCTCACATTAAACCCACGAAGTAGGTACTATGATCAACACACCCACCTTACAGATGAGGAAATAGACCAACGGTGAAGGTGGGACTCAAATCCATACGTTTTGCTTCCAGAGTCTATAGTAAACTGAAGACACAATGAATAGTGGCAGAACACACTGGGGAAGGATAGATCTTAGAATAATTGGAAAGGACTAAAATCCACATCTTAAAGAAACAGGGAAGAAAGGAGATCTGGAAAACACAGAAGATTTGAGAAACAGAGAGATGCTAGAAATGAAAAAAAAAAAAGAAATTCTAGCTATTAGATTAGAAAAACACCACCCTCAACAACTAGGTTAAGCAGTAGGCTGAGAACTAGGACCTGAGAAGACACAAATGGGGCAACCACTTGGTGCAGAGAACAGAAAAAAGAAATATGAGTAAGAATTAGGAACCATGAAGACAGACCTGAAAGCTTGAGCCACATTCAAAGAGATGGTTGATGTGAACAAGCTCATTGTACTCCCCGTAAGAAAGCAGCCAAAGACGCAGGGAGGTATCATGAGAAAGTCTTGGCTTAATTTTTCAGCTCTCATGTCCTGTGACTTGGGGATGTTTCATATATGAGGCAGACTTGAAACAGCTACCAGGAGATGATGCGATCATCATTGCAAAGAGAGAAAACTATGTATGAGGAATGTTTACATTATATAATTTCTACTTCCTATATCTTATTTCTGTGTATCTTCACAACAATCATAAGTGGTTTTTTTGTTTTATTTAAATTTATTAATTTCAGTAAAAATTTACAGAGACTTTGGATTTCCATTCATTCATTCATTGTTGCACTTTTCTCCCCTCCAACCCTTCCCCCCAGTACACTACGCTCTTGGAAGCATAAAAGAAAAATACTTTCATTGTTTTACAAACCTTCCCCCAGGTCCACTCCACCATGTAGCCTTCACTCTAGACACCTGTCATGACAAAAATACCTAATCACATATCCCTTTTAAACAGTTTTCTCCCTCATCTGTTTCAATGCAGTATACATTATTGAATCCATCTTTCTCAGTCTCTCCCCAATCCCAAGATCAGTCCTGTTCTACAACAGTGGCACCATGCAGTATTTGTCCATTTGTGACTGAGATACTTCACTCAGCATAATGTCCTCCAGAATCACCCATTTTGAATAATATTGCATGAGTTCCTTGTTTTTCAATGCAACATAGTATTCCATTCTGTGAATATACCAGAGCTTCTCTATCCATTCATTTTTTGATGGGCACGTAGGTTGTTTCCAACTCCTTGCTATTGTGAACAAAGCCACAATAAACTTGGGTGTGCATATATATGCTTGGATGTCAGTTATGGTCTCTTTGGGATATATTTCCCATAGTGGAATTGCTGGGTCAAATGGTATCTCTATTTGCAACTTTTTGAGAAAGCGCCATACCACCTTCCACAGTGGTTCAATCATAAGGTTTTAAAGAACCATTTTATAGATGTGAAAATTAAGGCTCAGAAAAAGAAATTGGTCAAGGCACAGCAACAGTAAGTGCAGACGTGGGATTTGACTCAGGTCCAACTCCAAAGCCACTTGGTTCACTCACATTAGAGCCAGGGTGGGGATGCGGCTCAGAAGAGCACAGGGAGTTTGAACCTCTGACCCACATGCGTAAGAGCTGGGCACTGAGGAGCCTTTAGGAGGTTCAGCTTGGGGTAGGGTTCAGACCTCAGGGTCACTCTTAGAAAATGCTAGTTGGTCTGCTCTCCCTCCTCTTACCACCTTGCCTTCTTCCACCACCATATAGGTAGACTCGGCCTCTTCCCACCCCACTCAGTAAAGCAAAATCAGGAGTCTGAACAAGTCTAACATTTCAAGAGGTTCAATGGATAAGACAAGTCAAGGCAACCCCAGTGTGAAGTTAGTCTGCCCTTTGTCTGTGCTGAACCTCATGCTGCCTTCAGCTCTGACAGTCACCAGGAAGCTCTTCAGTTCATAAACACAGGAAGAGTGTAATCACTGAAGTGTGTTTGGCAAAGATCTCTGAAAACACCAGACTGTGGGGAGAAGGGACAATTAAAGATGTCTTTGGGGGTAGAACCATCTAGAGGGCATGTTTATAAACTCCATTGTTCTACAAGATCAGAAACAATTTCCACCCTCCAGAGTATTATCTGAACCACCTTCACTCTACATCCTGCCACAGCGCACAAACCTGCACAGTCAAGGAGAGTGCAACAGACAGAAACACATGCACACAAATGCACAGATGTACACACATACACCCACAGAAACACAGACACATACCATACAGACCCACATACACAAAGGAAGCCTACGTAGACACAAACACATATACACAAATGAAGCATATAGACACACAAATGTACACATATCTATAGACAAATCCAACACAACAACACAATAGATTCAGAGATACAATGGATACATGAGTTGGCCAGAAGAGTCAAGAATTTTGAGATCAGGGCATCATCAAAGTCAGAAGAGGCTTCGGGCTGAAGGGCCAGCCTGGAAGTGGGAGAAAACTGGCCAGCTTCCAACTGACTGAGTTCTAGGTTTGGTGTTTAAATATCAACATCAAATTTAAAAAAAAAATTCCTGTTAATTGAGAAGTGACTACAAGTGAGAAACTGTTAATAAAAGAGGGGATCCAAGTTAAACATTTATAGAGGTATGAAAAAAAAAAGGCTGAAAAGATGTCAGCAATATTTATGTCTGAGTTGAGGTAAAGGGTTTTTGGGTTTTGTGAGTTTTTCTTTCTGAAGCTTCCAAATTTCTACAGTGAGCAGGTAGATAAGTTACAAAAACACTCCTTAAAATGATGGCAACAAGCTTATGCTTGCCTCCTGAGGGGAGGCTTGGGTGCTGGGAGGCAGAAGAGTTGGGCCCTTGGAGGTAATCTTTGCACAGCATGGCAACCCTCATGCCCCAGAAGTGGGTCACCTTCCAGCGGGGACAAGGGGGTTTCCCTGGCAGTGTGGCACGTGGTGAGGGCCAAGCTCAGTTCTCAACTGAGTGCTGGGGAGAGACGGTGAAAGGCAAGGGGACTCAATCCTGGTCTTGAGGGGCGGCGTCAGGAGCAGGTAGCAGAAGTCTGAGGTGAACAGCCATAGTGAGCCACAGTCAGTGGGCTGGGTAGACCCAGGGCACTGTCCTCCAAGCAGCCAGGGGACAGCCAGGCTTTTGTTCTGGGGACCTGGCTATCAATGGGGACACCTGGGACAGGGAGCTAGAGTGGCCCCCATTGTCTTCCAGTGCGGCGATGTGTCTGCTCCTGCTTGTTCCCGACGTCTCCTGGGTGGGTGGGCAGGACTACCCACTGCCCTGTCTGAAGGGTAGTCAGACTGGGGGGCTGCTTGGTGCTGAGGGTAGACACACGGACTCGGCAGGGAGGACAGGACCTTTAATTGTATTCATAAAGAGACTGAGCAGAGACTCCCAGAGAGGCGGCCTGTGCCTGGAGACCAGGGATGAGAGTGGTGGGGGGCTTGAGGTCAGGATGAAGGCCTTGTGCCCTGGGCATGGAGGTGGAGGGTGGGCTGGCAGTCTCTGTGCCCCTTGGCTCATCTCAGCTGGGCTCTCGTCCTCTCAGGAGTGTCTCAGCTCCACCTCAGAGCCGAACTGGGGTCCTCGGTGTGGCCGGTGGAGTCCATGGCGGCGGATGCTGAAGAGACGCTGGGTCAGACCCAAGGTGGCCACCAGCAAGGCAATACCCAGAAAGAGCAGCATCCACTGGCCCACGCGGGCCTGGTACGGCTCTAGGTCCAGGCCCAGGAAGTTGACGCGGCCGCTGCCGGTGGAGGAGGCCGCTTCGGAGCGAGCTGGGAGGGAAGCAAGGAGAGCAGGGCAGTGGGCAGGGTAACGGGCAGGCGGTGGGCAGGGCTGAGAGGTGTCCCATCCCTGTCCTCGCTCTGAGGCCCGGCTGCACCGGGCTAGACCGGGGAGGGGTCCGGCCTGGGGCTAGGTGGGGTGGGTGGTGGTACCGGAGTTGGGCGTCCAGTTGTACTGGGGCCAGCCTAGCTTCTCCCCATGCCGCCAGTTCTCGGTGAGGAGCCAGTCCATGAGTGGCTTGAAGTAGTTCATCATGGCGGACGCGGACATGTTGGGCTGCCCTGTGATCAACTTCATGGCTTCTGGCCACGACTTACTGTAGCCGAGCTTCATGGCGTCCCTGGGGGAGAGGAACTGAGTCAGGAGGACAGGTGGAAAGGCTAAGTGGCCCCTCTGCTCCGGCCTACACCCACCTCATACCCCTCACTCACGCCCCTCTCCCAGCTGATAGGTCTCTTTGGGGTTTGGGGACACATGGACGGTCTGGGGACACATGGACGGGTCTGGGGACACATGGACGGTCTGGGGACACATGGATGGTCTGGGGACACATGGACGGGTCTGGGGACATATGGACGGGTCTGGGGACACATGGACGGTCTGGGGACACATGGATGGTCTGGGGACACATGGACGGTCTGGGGACACATGGACGGTCTGGGGACACATGGATGGTCTGGGGACACATGGACGGTCTGGGGACACATGGACGGTCTGGGGACACATGGACGGGTCTGGGGACACATGGGCAGGTCTGGGGACACGTAGACAGGTCTAGGGTAGCAGTAGGGAGTGATGACCTGGGCCTGGAGGATCATCGAGGCTGGGAGGTCCCACCCCGGAAACACCTGGCATGGGGCAGAGAACATTTGTGAGACTCACGCCAGGCGCTTCCCTGCTTCCTTTGACCGGTAGATGTCACACGTGTGCAGGGGGCCCTGGTGACCAGCTGCCTGGCACAGTGCCTCATGGAACTGGAATTGGATCACGAAGCTGATGAAGTACCTGGAACAGAGGGAAGGCCACTGAAGCCTCGCCCTTCTCCCTGTGACTGGTCCCTGGGGAACAGCAGAGCCAGCCCTCCTCACTCCCAGTCCCTGGAGTCAGAGCATCAGAATGAGGCTGTGTGGACCCTCCCCACCCCAATGGGAAGGCTGTCCCTCATCTTGGGAAGGCTTGCTCCCAAGGGGTCCTTGGCCTGGTCATGTACAGGGCATGATCAGAACAAGGCCTTCAAAGATACAGCATGTTCCTAGGGTATTTGGAAGGGAGGTCTAGGCAGAGAAGCCAGTCCAATGATCCTGTTTTGCCAAAGGCAACAGAGATTTCCTGGCAGAAGTCAGCTTGTCCAGGCTGGAACACCCCCTCAACGTCTAGAGAGGTTTAAAGAATGCCTCAAATAAGAGGCTCAGGCCTACTCCTCTTGAATGCTTGGCACAAGCCACATGCCACTGGAACTCCCTGAAAGGGTTTGGGGCAGAATTTGCAATGTGTTTTTCTATAACCAGCCAAGTGTCCTTTGTTCACCTTTGCACGGAGATCAGCCTACTAAGCTGAGATGCTAACCACGTAGCAGGGACTTCCATGTGAATGTGAGAGCTGGCTTGGAACACCAGAAACCACTCTCAAAGGAGGGGTGGGGTGGGGCCTTTCCTAATGGGTCATGGCTGGCTGTCCAGGTTAGACCTACTCCAAGGTGCTCCAGTAAGGGGTCCACTCAGGCCCTGCCCACTGCTGCTATCTGGAGCTCTTGAATGGGTCTCTCCTTCCTTGACCTCCAGGAGAGAGAATTCACCATAATTTATGAGGTCCTGACTAAGTGCTGACACAGTGCCACATGCTGGGAGGGAAGAGGGGACAAGGTGGTCAAGAACTTCCCACGGACTTCTAGAAGGTCAAGGAGGGAAGAACTAAAGGCCACCAAAGCCCACCCTGGGCAGCCCTCAGTGCCTTCTGCACCTCCCCTTGTGGGAAGCCTGGGCTACCTGTGGCCCAGAAAAACCTGAAACTGCACAGTAAGGTCTCCTCAGACCTATGCCTTCTAGGAAGACTCCAGATCCTGGATTTTAACTCAGTTCTGTCTTAACCCAAAATTGTGACTGAAATTGTGCCTGTAACAACACTGAGTCTCTAATATCGAGTTTTAGTGTATAGGAGGGTCTTTCAGGTACAACTAAAATGTTATCACAGACAACATAAATAATATGCAGTAATCGCAATCTTCTTTATAAAACAGCCCTAATGTAGCCATGTGTCATGGCCAATATCAACAACATAGCCATGGCCTCATAAAACCCTTACCAAGTTTTTATAGATTGAGTTTGTTTTCAATTGTTTGGATGTTAGAAATTCTCACCAGATCAAAAGAATGTTTCAAGAAACAACTGTCTGCCTTGGTAGCAAATGCACGGGCTCAGGCCACGCTTCCTGCAGCTAGGGTCCCCTGGGGATGCCTGGCCTAGGAAGCAGTATCTGATGGGTCACCATAATGTGTAAATGATAAGCTGTAGGCAACACTTCTCCTCCCCCCCTCCGCTCCCCAGGGAATTTCCTCCTTCTTTCCCCATTACCTGATGTAAGGCACACTTGAAGGAATGTGGAACTTGGCCCCTGGGTCAAAGTCATCTTGAGACCTGGGCACTGGGGGGCAGAGACCTTGGTACTTCAGCCTGCGGAGGGGGAAGATCCACTGGAGAGAAAGTTTGGGGAAAACCAAGCTGGGAGGAGTTGGTGTTCTTTGAAATGAAGGGTGGTCCCTGCATTGAGGACCTCCCAGGCTCCTGTTTGTCTGTGTGAACCAATCCCGTAGGTAATAACACATTACACACATTTGCATGTGTGTACACACCATGACCCACATGTATGCACATAGACATCTCCCCAGACACAGGATGCACACAGTTCAGCAGATATCATTACAGTATGCACACAGATGCAGGCAGACACACACGTGGACTCACACTGACCCATCCAAGACTCATACCTCCAAGAGAACCTCTACCAAGACCCCTCCCCCTCAGGAACATTCTAGAAACCTGAGGCTCCACCACTCCTGGTTGTAGTTCTCCTTGGTGATGCTGCCATCAAATACCCTCCAGCGCCACTCATCCACAAGGTAGCTGAAGGGGATGAAGGTGATCTTGTCTAGTGCCATCTGCATTAGAAAGTTGATGTCGTGCTCTGCCAAGGGAAGGAGGCCCAGCCATCAGATTAGCTCCCACCTCCTGCTGGGTGCTGGCAGCTCTGTGTGTGATGGGCACAGGAGGAAGCTGTGTCTCTGAGCTTGCCACTTGGAAAGTCTGTGCACTCTGTTCTCCCAGGCTCACAAGGCTAGTGGATCCTTTATTCTCCATTCTCTTGTCCTAGATCTCTTCTCCTGGGCCACTAAATCTCCCCTCTTTTCCACTTCCAAATTTTGACCACCCCTGCCTGGTCCCTGAGTCTCTGCAGACTCTCCCCTTCCTCTCTCACCATAGCCACTGCCCTCGCTGCTCAGCAGGTTGATGGTTTGTAGATGGCGAGGGGTAGACACTGAGAGAGCCAGCACGTCCCCAATGGCCTCATGAAAGCCAGGGTTGGCACCTTCCCGTAAGCTCACAGGTAAGTCCTTGTACTGCATGAAGTATTGTATGTGGCCCATTTCGTGGTGGGTCACCACCAGATCCTCCATGTTCACAGTGGTGCACTGTTTGATTCTGGAGACACAACATGGGAAAGAAAAGAAAACGTTGGAAGAGGGCCAGTGAGGGGTCCCGCTCACCTTACTGAACATAGAACAGACCCCACTGTTGCTGTTTGCAGGGAGTCCAGCACTGTGGGAAGGAAAAGCATAATGAGAGTTGCGGGAGCCTGAGACAGAGGGAGTCTGGGCACTGAAAGTAAGGAAATCGTACACGGTATACAGCTTTCCTGAACAACGCCAGCCCACGCTGCCATGTTGCTTGAAGACTGTACAGAGCTGGAGGGTCAGCTATGGTTGGATCGACTCAACGGTACACAACAACAACAAAGAGGTAAACATGTCATTTCTGCATTTCAACCAGCTCAACACCAGCAGGCAGGCCTATTCGTTCTGAGTCCTAATAGCCAGGACCAAAGTGACACTGTCCAAGCCAGATGGTTCCAACTCTCTCCCCAATCTTTCCTCTTTTGTCATTTCAATCACATTGAGTCAGTTTCAATGTTGGTAAGTTCTTCTTGGATCTACCCAGTCTGGCTTGACTCAGATTGTCCATCATTCTTATCAAGGAGGGAGGTGAGAGCTGTCTAGAAAATTGGTCATAATCAGATTGGGGGTCTATTAGTCTTCTCTGATCCCTCATTTAAAGGATGTCCCCCCCAAGAGCTTGTCTTCCCCTTTAAGCCTGTCCACCCCAGCATTATAGCTATAGACCTCATGCAATTTGGGGATGGATCTCTCTGTATCTGCTCTTACCCCAAGAGACGCTTTATCATCTATGGTGCACCACCTGTTCACACTTCCCTTCTGGTGGCCTAGTGACAAGGAGCTGCAACTACAACCCCAGAGGCGCACGGTTCGAATCCACCAGATGCTGTGCCGGGGAAGGAGGGACAATCTCCTCCTGTACCAGTCAGATCCGATTTGATGGTACACTCACACAAAAATTAAAAAAAAAAAAAGATCAACACTTCTCTTAAGTAAGATCTTTTTCCTTCCCTTGATTCCAGGTTAGTCTTATGACTTTCTTCAATCAATAAAATGCTTTTTCCCTGGGGTATGCCAGGTGCCACGTGAAAAATCAGGCTACCTGAGACTGTCACATTGTAAAGAAGTCCAATTTAGGCACGTGGACGTGTTACCAAAACATCCTATACAAGGCTTCAAACAGATGGCTCCAGTCATCTTAGTCACCTCCAGCCATCAGAGTCACCCCAGCTGAGGTCCCAGTCACTGAGGGGCAAAGTCAGGCAGCCATTTCTGTCTGAATTCTTGACCCATTAAATCGTAAGCATTGAGCTGCTCTACATCATTGTTTTGGTGTTGGTTTGTTATGGAGCAAGAGGTAATGGAAACACTATCTTTGGATGAAGATGGCTTCTGAACCTTTGTCAGTGTTGAGGATGGACCTATGCAAAGGGTCCCCTGTTCTTCCTGTGTCAAGGCAAAGGTACACAGTGAGTGGACAAACTGCAGCAAAGGTTGCCCTGGAGTGGGGAAGGCTGGGCAGCTTAGACTCAGGACGAAGATCTTGACCCCTGACCAACTGTCCAAAGTGCTTAGCACTTGAGGAGACCCTCATTTAGTGGATGGGATTCTTCTGCCGGAAGTCAATGGCTGAGCTCAGACTAAGCCCAACTCTTTTGTTCCTCTGTCCTAAGTCCTGGCCCCCACATTTCTTTTCTCTCTGCTCCCTGTGGCTGAAGGAAGCACAAGGAAGACTTGACTTGGCTCACTTCCTTACCCACTGGGCTCAGCATAGAGTCTCTGGCTCTAGCCTGAACATACCTGAAGTCCTTGCCATTGTAGAAGTCCCAGGCAGAGGCATGACAAACAACCTCCCGCCCATCTGTTGGCTTCTCCAGCATCGACTTGTTCCAGAATTCGGGGGGCAAAGGCAGCAGTCCCAGGGAGGTGAAGAAATTATCCGCTTCCTCAAACATTTTTTTGGGTGTCCAGCCCTACAAGCAGAGAGAGCATTGCTAATATCGGGGGTTATGAGGACAGTGCCTCTCAGGGAGGGAAGCTACTGGGGTGGGGAGAACTCCTGAATCTCAGACACTCTTTCACACCCTGTTGGGAGCCTCCCTCCCCTGTGCCCTGGGGCTGGTCATGAGGTATAAGAATGGGTGGAGAGGGACTCAGCACAGACCTGCTTTATCATGGCCTCAGTGGCATCCAGCTTGGGGGCTGACGGGAAGGGCACTACCAGATCATAGATGTTGGTCCAGGTCTGGGCCCACATGTTCCCTGGAGGCAGGTCAGGGAGAGATGGTGAGAGACGGAGACAGATGTTACTTCTTAGGCTCATCAGCACCATGTGGCAGTTGAAAGGCAGGCAGGTGTTTGCCTTTAGAGCCCATGTTCTTGACCACCTACTCTGCAGTGTCCCCTTCACATCGCTCAAGGTTGGTTACTGCAGGTCACCTGTCAGTGACTCTGGTTAGGACCACCTATCTCCTTAAGGAGAGGCCGATGATCCTGAGATTCAATTAAGAGGCGAGGTTAGACCAGTTTTCTAATATTGGTAAAATGGAAGACCATCAAATAAATGAGCAGGCAGGTTCAGGAATATATCTGAACTAGAGATTCTTTCATTGTCAGTGGAATGAACCTGAACTGACATCAGGCCAGAATCTCAAGTTCAAAACAGAGAGAAACAGGGAGCGAGTGAGAGATGAGAATGAGCGTCGGAACCCGAGTGAGGCAGCTAGCGCCTCTCCTCCTCTGCTGATCACCAGGGGCTGAGCATAACCCTGGCTCTGGCCCAGCTCCTGGGACGCCCTGGGCATGTGCCTCCCCTTCCCGGGGTTTTTGTTCCTCGTCAGTGAACTGATGTCCACCTAAATTTTCTGTGGTTTCACCAGAGAAGGATCGAGGAGAGGTAGTTGGACTACAGCAGTGCCCTCTCTCCATGCTGAGTAGAAAACCACACCAAGTTGGGCCGTCTTGCTCCAGATCTGACTTGTAATTGGTCTGTGACCCCATCTGGCCTCTCTCATAGAACCATGGGTGTTGTAGGCCCCTACTTCCCATTTAAAGTGCTCCCCATGGTCCAACAGTGACTGAAAGCTGGTAGCCTCTGCTTTGCTCCAGTTCCTACCACTCCTTCTTATCGGTCACTGCTCATTTCATAGACTCGGTCACCTGCCTTAGACATTCGTATCTCTAACCTCTGAAATGGCAACCTTTTCAGGATTTTTCCTCGTTCTATTAGCACCTTTAGCCTAAACTCTCAGTCTGTCTCTTTGCCGGCCCTCATTTTCAGTCTATCAAAATCTCTTATCTGTGGCTCTGCTCAAATGCCAGCTCCTGGTGAAGCCTTCCCAACCCCCCCTCAGCACCCTCTGGTGGCCGCTGCTTCAACTGACAGTAGCTGAGAACGCCTCCTCTGACAAAATCATGGACCCCTTAGTCCCCGCCCCACCATGCATGGTGACAGCACAATGAGGTCGGTAGCAAATGTGGGGCCAAATGTCAGCACCTCTCCAACCAAGTCTAGGCACCTTTCCCTCTGGGCTCATGTCATTAAGCATGACGTGCCATCTGCAGCCCCTTCCCAGCTTGCTTCCTGCTCCCTGACCCTGGCTCCCTCCCCTAGACCCAGGGGCACCCTCACCCAGCAGGTGCGCAGGGATGGGGCCCTCCAGGTTGATGTACTCAGGCCCGTAGTGGCGGTGCAAGGCACGGCGCACGTAGGCATGCAGGTTCAGGTAGAGCGGCTGCAGCTCCTGGAAGAGCTGCTCCAGGTCCTGTTCCAGCGATGGCGTCTCGTACGTGGAACGCCACGAGTCCCCTGTGTCTTTGTAACCTGCAGAAGGAACACCGCCAGGTCCTTAGCACCTGCCTGCCTCCTACTCCGGGATCCACTTCTCCCCAGTGTTAGAGAGCCTCGTTGAAGGACCCCAGAGGACCCTGGGACTGACAGCACTTGCTGTGGGCAGCTAGGACTCACCATTGAGCTTTGCAGCCTTGTTACTGAGTTCCACGTATTTGGGGTAAGAAGGGAGGATGGATCTGCCCACTTTGTTTCGCCAACCCTCCCAAGCCCATAACAGTTCTTCGTAGTTCCGGGATGTGGCCATGAGCTTCGTCAGATCTGGAGGGGAAGGGCGTTGAATGGCTGGAGTCCCCAGTCCCTGGCTCACCTCCCGCCTCCACCTCACTAGGTAAACCCAGCTGTGACATTCAGAGCTGGGATGAGGCTGGCAGGATCTGGGGGAAGCACCTTCCAGTAATTCCAGAGAAATGAGAGAGAGGGTGGGAGGACATCAACCTGGGCTTGGCCCCCTACACATCTGTGCTCTCAGGCAGCTGAAAGGTTTCAACACCCTGTGAGTCACATGCCACTTCTCTTTCCCAAGGCTTCCTCGGGGATTTCCCTATAAGGAAGGGGGTGCAAACCAAGGCACCCAACTCCAGAGTCACTGTTACCCTGACTTGGTCATTCCTGCTCATCACCCCTTCCCCTTGAGGAGGAATCAGTGTGAAGGCCAAAAGACTAATGTTCTTCTGGTCCTATCACCCACCACCAGCATCATTAGCCCTCAGATGGGAGCACAGACTCAACTGGAGTGTGGGTCCCTGACCATGGAGGGGCCTGTTCAGCTCTGTGTCCCCTACACCTCCAGGCCCAGAACAGTCCCAAATTGGTACGGAACAGCTGTGAAGACTGAAAAATCGAAAGAAATGGCTTCCTTAAGGAGCCAGAAGTTCTGGGCCTGTAAGTGCTGCAAGTATATGGCTTATGCGCATGTCTTACTCCCACAGGGCAGTGACCTGAAGACCTGGCCCTGGACTGAGGGGCTGCTGGGGTAGGGGGTAGACCCACATCCCTTTGACATTTTTCTCCATAAATGTATGTACCCACACAGACACGCACGCGTGCACACTTCTTGCGTGCTTGCCCACATTACAAAACTACAGACAGACACCCCTCCACCCCCACCCCGCCCCCGCCTGGGAAACGGTTTCTCTCTCCTGTTTATTTTTCATTTCCCTTCCTCTTTGTCATTGTTCTAACGTGGGAGTTGGGTGGGGAACCAGGAAGAAACCATTTCTGGGTAGAGATTCCTCCAAGAGGAATGTTTATGCCTCTAGCTCTCAACCTTGGAAGGGGCCTGTCAGGAGGCGACAGGGGCAGAATGGCCTGAAGAGAACAGAGACAGAGGCAGGGTTGGTGCTTTTAAAGGAGAAGGTCTGAGGGCCCAGCTGGCCAGAGTGGAGGGAGGACACGGGGCAGACAGGGCCAGCAGGAAGTGACGTGAGGGACCCAAGGGAGCATGGGCTATGCAGCAGGAGACCAGGTTCTTATCTGTGCTCCTAGGGGCTGTGTGCCCCATCCGGTTTGGGGAGGGGTGCGGCAGGGGAGGGAGTCAGAGCAGATGAGGAAGACAAGAATGGGATGAGAAGGTGTCTGGAGTTAAGTTCAAGCCCCCAGAAACCCACTGCTTTGTTGAGGGACAGTCTGGGGCTCCAGTAGAAGAGGGGCAATGGAGGGGTCTTGAAGGGACCCAGAGGGAACCAAGTAGAGCAGAAGAAGAGAAGTGGCGGAGGGGTCTGGATGTGCCAATAACAGTCCAGGTTAAGACCCCACCTGCCTGCACCCCCCAGCGCACTGCCCCAGCACTGCACTGCACTGCACTGCCCTGAGATCTTCTCCCCTCCCCCCAGACATGCTCACCAGGCTCTAGCTCGAGACAAGTGCCGTTTGGGTGGCACACAGAGGCGACGCTGTAAGAGGTCTCCATATCCAGCAGGATCTGATTGTACTGCAGAGAAGAAGAGAGACAGTGACCTACAGCCCTTGGTTCCTAGACCTCGGCCACCTGCTCTGCCCGAGGCCACTTTCTTTGCTAGAAGATCTGGCAGAAGGAGTGGCTGGTCCCCAAAATGCTGCCTTTGCTGTAATTCTGTAGATGTGTGTTGGTTCGAGTGCTGCCTTTTAATAAATCAAGGAAGAGAAGCAGCCTGAAGGCCAGGCCTGGTGCCCTGCTGGACTCAATCCCTGAAGCTGAGGTCTTGGCCTTGACCTTGGCTCCCCCACTCCCTGCTAACCGCTCTGCAACCTCACCTCCTCCAGATCCTTGACGGGCAGCACCGCCTGTCCCAGGTCCTGAGCCTTTTTTATGATCCGCTTGATGGTGGTGTTCTGGAAATTGCTCACATCAAACTTCTTGGCCCAGATGCCATACTTCAGGCTGTGGTTTGCCATCTCCATGTTCTTTTCCAGCTGAGGGCACAAGGTTTGATGTTATGAGGACCCAGGAGTTTTGGAGAGCCTCTGATCAGAAGGTGCCATGGCTGGGGGACAAGGGGAGGTGAAAGAGAGGGGGATGGTTTTGCCTAAGAGACTTTATAGCCCCGACTGTGATAATGTTCCAGTGTGTCCTCCACAAACGCCAGCAGTGTAGAGAGACACATCCTGACAGGCCAGAAAGGCCGAGTCTGCATGTGTCTTAAAGGATTTTAGGAAACAAGCAGTTTGTATTAGTTCTGTGATCTCGGTTTCTGGGCTAAGGGTTCTAGCTCTAAAATAGGAATAAGGGTATCAATTTTGCAAGGCTGATGGATAATAAGAGGCAAGAAATGCCAAGACTAAGAAACGGTACCCAGCGCACAGTAAGTCTTCAAGAAAGGTTCCTTCTCTGTGCGTAAACACAGCTCACTCTGGAATCCCCTGTGCTCAAGCAAACAGATGTTGCAGGGTAGGGTGGGGCGACATGGTTCTCTCTGTGGTGGCAAACAGCCTTTCAATCTTTTAGGTAATGGTTTTAGCTTCACTTTTTTATGTGCTAATTATTCTGTCACTAGTGGTAAGGAACTGTGCTGTCAGCACAAAGGTACATGGTTTGAATCCACAAGTTTGCCGGCCACCCCACAGAAGAAAACGGGCAATGCCCTCCTGTACGATTTTACTACCTCTGAAAACCCGCCCGGAGGCACGGCACGTAACAATAGTAATGTTGCTATTGTTATGTATTGTGGAGGGAGGAGGATAGCTGACCCTCCAGAGGGTTTTCAGAGGCTATAAAATGAACAGGACTAGTTTACCCATCTTTCGCCAGGGGAGCAGCTAGTGCGTTTGAACCACCTGCCTTTGGGGTGGCAGCACGACTCCACTAAGGCACCAGAGCTCCTTTTAGAATTCATAATTGTCCAGCTCCCCACCCCACGCCCCTGCCATCAGCCTTGATATCTATCTGAGGTGATATCAGGGAAAACCAGCTGGGTCCTCTCAGCTCGGGTTCTCTTCAGGTTTTGGAGAGGTGGTCCCTCTGGGGAGGGGGCAGCCCAGGGGCCTGAGAGTGTGCAGGTGTGTGTAGGTGTTGTGTTGTGTGTACAGTTACGCTTGTGTGTGTGTTAGTATATGCATTTGTGGATGAGTATACATGTATGTGTGGTCTGCACACTCGTGTGTGCCTGTGTTTCTCTGTGTGTCTTTGCATGACACACGTGTGTGTGTGTGGGAGTGTGGAGGTGGCCCCCACCAGAATCTTGCTGGTCTCTGTGGTGATGTTGGTGTTGTAGTTCCAGTTGGCCTCTGCATATTCGTTCCACACGACCTTGGCTGTCCTGTCATATTCCTCCACAAACTTCCAGGCCTCAGCCTCATCTGTCACCAGTTCTGCAGGACAGAGGATAGAGATGCAGACAAGCCTCCCCTCGCGTCTCTGCCCTCCACTTCCTGCCACCAGCCTCCCTCGCTCTCCCCTCTCCAGCCCTTCCCCTCTCCCCAACCACAGGTCCCACTTGGGCTCTGGGTTGTCCAGCTAGTGGAGGCCTGGCGGATGCTGGCCTGGCTGGCACTGGCCTGGCTGGTGGAGGCCTGGTTGGTAGTGGCCTGGCTGGTGGTGGCCTGGTTGGTTTTTGGCTGGTTAGGTGTTGTCTGGCTAGGGACGGGCAGCAGGTGCCCCCAGCAGATCAACAGGAGGAAGAAGCTGGACAGTCCCAGAGGAGCCCAACCTTGGCCCATGGCCGCAAGAAAGCGGAACCCTGAGGTGCCTGGCGCCTGGCCAATGAGAGCGGATCCTGCAGTGTGACCTCATAGAACCATGTGCTGTCCAGTCTGGCCCCAGGGGCCCTCATTTCCAGTGTACCCCCTCAAGGAGGCCCATCTCTGTGCCCTGCTTATGGGCTGGGGCCACCGGAATCCAGGGCAAAGCTCAGAGCTCAGCTGGGAGAGCTGACCAACACTGGCCTTAGTACCCACCCCACCTCACCCCAGACTTTACCAATGGACTCTGGGTAATTGTTAGGCACTGGCGGGCGCCACTGGTTTTCTGGCCAGCCTAGGACCTCGCCATTGCGCTTGTTCTGCTCCTGAAGCCACTGGGTGAGTGGCTGGAAGTAGTCGAGCAGTGGCTTGGTGTCCAGCATGTCTGAGCCGATCATGTCCTTCAGCAGCTCCTGCCAGGGCCTTGAGGAGCCTGCCTGGAGCAGATCTCTGGGGCAGAGTGGGCAAAGAGGGCTCAGGCTACAGCCTGATACTGGCCCACCTAGCCCACTTGTGGTCACTGTGTCCTTCCTCCACCTCCCTGGACCACAAAAATGTCAGCAGTAACACCACTAGGCCTAGAAGCTCTGGGAAGGTACCAGGGACAAATGTGTTTCCCCTAGCCAACCAGAAGGCCCGTTCAGACAATATTTGAGGAGAGAAAGGAAAGGAGAGACACATTGGCCCTGTGACACCCTTGCCCAGGAAGGCCCTTGCCCCCACCCTTTGCCCACCTCCCCTGTCACCACACACTGGAGCTTTTTCCCTGCCTGAGTGGACTGGTAGATGTCACATCGGTGCAGTGGGCCCTGGTGATTTGCCTCCTTGCACAGAGCTTGATGGAACTGGAACTGCAGCACGAAACTCACAAAGTACCTGCAGCCACAGTGTGGGCATTAGTGGGGTACAGAAGCAGGAACTGGGGTCCCCTGTTCAGGCACCGTTCAGCTTCCCCAGGGCAGAAGTGGGACCAGGGACTGTCTTAGGGAACAGGGGAGAGCCTATTTGGCACAGGACAAAGGAGAAGGTCGGAGCCCTGGATTCAAGGCCTTTTGGGGAGGAGAGTCAGGAAGAGCATAGAGACAAGCCATGGATGGGGCTGCCAGGGTCACAGGAGGGGGTCACAGAGTTAGGAGCTGAGGGGAAGCAACAGTACCTGATGTACGGGGTCATGTTTGGGACATGAAATTTAGCTCCAGCATCAAAGTGGGTTTCGTTCCGGACAATTGGAGGGCAGACGCCCTGGTACTTTGTTCTAAAAGAAGATAGTTAAATAATTTCATGGCAGAGTTGTCATGCACAGATCTGGAAAAGACAACCCAGCAGGGGCATTCTCACCCAGCCACTCTTTCCCCATCCTGGTGAATTTGGGAGGACTTCCTGGAGGAGGGGCTTTCACACAGGAAAGAACATGATGGGTAAAGGAGGGAGACTGTCCTTAGAAAGAGGGGCCTGGTCGGGGCAGGAGGTTCCTGGGTGCTCAGGGCTGGGGAGGGGGGTTGGTTTGAGAGGAACCTCCTGACCCCTCTCTGCTCACCGGAGGTACCACCAGTCAAAGTTGTAGCGGGAAGGGGGGGTGCGCCCACTAAAGACCCCCCAGCGCCACTGGTCCACTAAGTAACCAAAGGGCAGGAAGGCAATTTTTTCCAGTGCCATCTTTAGCAGGTAATTGATTTCACTCTCTGTGGGGAGAGGAGAAAGAAGTCAGAGGGAGGAGGAGTCCTGCCAGAAGTGGGTGCACCCGGGAGGAGCCTGCAAGAGGTGAGGGGCAGGCGCTTGGCAGGGAACCACCGGAGGGTGCGGACTTGGAGCTCAGCACGTGCTCATCTTGCCTGAGCTGGGGCAGATGTGAGGATGTGGCACAGGGTTGATAGGGTTCGGTGTCCCCATACCTGTGTCATTGGTGTCTTGGTCCAGAAGGCCAATTTTGTGCAGATGTGCAGGGGTGGAGACCGAGAGTGCCAGCACATCCCCAATGGCCTCGTGGAAGCCGGGGTTGGCTCCCTTGCGCAGGGACACAGGCTGCTCCTTGTACTGCAGGTAGTACTGCACGTGGCCCATCTCGTGGTGCACCGTGGTCAGCTGATCCATCGTGACCCGTGTGCACTGCTTGATCCTGAGTGGAGTGGGGTGGGGGTGAGCAGAAAGGCCAAGGCAGAGCAGGAACCCCAGGCCCAGGCAGCCTGTCACTTGAGAGATATAGACAATGGTTCAGAGGAGTTGGGAACATGAAAGGCCTTCAGTCTGCCTCATCCAGCACCGGCACAAAGGCTGTCTCCTTGTTCAAAGCTCAGAGCTGAGGACCTGCCAGGGCTGCTGTAGGGTGGCAGCCTAAAAGCCCTGGGAGCCCAGGCTGCCTTCCTCCCTGCCATGTCCCTCCCACATACAGACCTGAAGTCCTTCCTGTTGTAGAAGTCCCAAGCAGAGGCGTGGCACACCACCTCCCGCCCATCACTTGGTTTCTCCAGCATGGACTTTGCCCAGAACTCGGGGGGCATGGGTAAGAGCCCCAGGGAGGTGAAGAACTCTTCTGACACCCGGAACATGTGGGTAGCATTCCAACCCTGAGGGTGGAGCACTGGTCAGAGACCAGACCAGGGAGAGCTGAGGTCTCCACCAGGCCAGTGCCTGCCTGTGACAGACATTGCCCAGAGCCTGGGCTTCAGAACTGATGAACATGGATGATGCTCAAACCCGTCCCCTTGACCCGGAGGGAGGAGGATGCCTCACTGATAGACCCCAGTTCGCCTTGTCCAGGCCACTTCTCCATAAAAAAAAGAGGGCCAGGCCCCTGCCCCACCCACTGCTCTCATGTGACCCATCCGGCTCCTCTTCCTGTCCTGATCCTCTCAACGCCACCCCACTCCAGGGCTTACCTTCTGCACCATAGTGCTAGTGACATCAAGGTTGGGCTTGTTTGGGAAAGGCACCACCATGTCATAGAGGTTTTCCCAGCTCTGGGCCCACATGTTCCCTAGATGAACAAGGGGAGCCAGGCAGCTTGACTTCTGCTGTCATTAAGCGACACCCTATGTGCCACCACCCGGATTCTGGGGCTCTCTAGGGCAGCTGACCCCACCTGGCTGCCTCAGGGGCAAGGATCCCTCAGACTAGTCCCACCTCACTTTGGTGCCCAGGCGATGCTGTTGGGGCCCCTCCTGACGATGTAGATGATGGCGAGGACGGGGTCCACCTTCCCTACCCTTAGTGTTCTCCTGGATACCAAGTTTCCCCAGGACATGCCTGGAGGTCAGGCCCTTACCCAGCAGGTGAGCAGGAATGGGTCCCCTAAGGTTGACGAAGTTTCCCCCATATCGGCGGTACAGTGCTCGGCGGACATAGGCATGCAGGTTCAGGTAGAGGGGCTCTAACTGATGGTACAGGTTCTCCAGGTCCTCCACAAAGGTGGGTGATTCATACGACGAGCGCCAGTAGGCCCCTGTGTCGGAGAAGCCTAGCGGGGCAGGGAGTGGGCAGCTCAGGCTCCAGATAGTACCTCCACCTCCCCACCTCTCCTGTGCCATTCTCCTGGCTCCAGATCTGTATGTGCCAGCAAGCAGGGGAGGATGGCCTGGGCTAGATCTCAGTATCAGAGGTGAAGATGAATTCTAGGCCTGAGGAGCAGAGCCAGGCGTGCTGGGGAGGGAGGGCAATGTGAGGGCAGGGCAGCTGCACATGGCAAGCAGTCTGGAATCAAGTCCACGTTCACCACCTACACCTGTGTGGCCTAGGGCCTAACCTATTTGGTAAGAATGTGGGACTCAGCCTAAGAGCTGCTCAAGTCACGGTGGCTGAGCAGCAACCCCTTGCGAGCTGGGAAGGGCTGTGCTCACACAGAAGGAACAGGAAAGATGTGCTCACCGTCCTGCTGGTAGGCCTCATTGCTAAGGGCCATGACCTCTTGGTACAGGGGTTTCAGTGGGATGCCCGCAGCATCGTGCCAGCCCTCCCAGGCAAACAGCAACTTGGAGTAGCTCCGAGAGGAGGCCAGGATGTGGGTGAGCTCTGGGAGACAGGCAGGCAACACTGATTAGAGGGCTCCCCGTGCAAGTCTGCAATATCTTCACAGCCCTCATCGGTCACCACCCTGGTCCTTACCATTCCCATGAGCATCCTCCATGCCATGCTACCCCAAAGTCAAGGGCAGCTTACAAGCTGGGTGGAATAGGTTAGGAGCTACTCAAAGCAAGTCCCCAGGCAGGGCCCCAGTCCCAGGGAGATGATGAGCTAAGGTGCTAACATAGGAAGATGGCAATCCAGAAGGCAAAACCCAGACCCCTTGGGATTCATCGATGCAAACTGACCTCACTGGGACTGAAGGGGAACAGGAAGACATGGGGAAACAAAGCCACATTATCTTAACAAAGGGTCCAGGGTCTACTGAAGGCTCCTGGCACAAAAGGGGAAAACCAAGCCACCAGTAGCAAGATGGGAGAGGCACATGGGGCAGCGGACTCTGGGGTTCAGTCGGCCAGGGGAAGCAGCGGTGTGGGAGCACCTGCATAGCACAGCCCTCATCCAGGCCAATGCCTTTGGGGTTTTTACCTACTCCCTCCACAGGCCTCCCACAAGCTTGCTGTCCTCCTGGGTGTAGTAGAGTGGATGGGGGAGGCCTGCGACACCCCAGCGGAGAGAGCCAGGCAGGGCCGTACCTGGGTCCAGGGACCAGCAGGTGGCAGTCTTGTTGGGGAAGCAGACCTTGGCGGTGGAGTAAATCCGGCTCATGTTGTTCAGCAGAGAGTTGTACTGGTGTGCAGAGTTGGGAAAGAAAAGTTTGCTGTGAACAGCCCCGCTAGAGATCTCTGACCACTAGCCTCCGTTTTTTTGCGAGCAGGTAGAAATCTCAAGAAAGGAGGGAGGTGACTTGGTAAGCACTACCAACACCATCTTGGCTGCCACCTTGTAGTGAGGGTATGTTCCTCCCGGGTTGTTTTTTTTTTTTTGTGCCTCCCTTAACTGTTCTCCATCTTCCTGAGGAAACCCATAAGCCAAACGTGAAATTTCGAAGCCTAGAGTTTCATCTTTCACTTGAATTTTGCTTTTCCACTTGAATTTTCCACAGTATTTTGCTTCCTGGGCTATGTTCAAGGAAAATCATGCTCAACAATTCATTTGACATTGGGCTTTCTCTCCCCCAAGGCTGCCTACCCTCCAGGAGGGAGGCGGGTGAGGTGGTCTCCCCACCGACCCTGTGCCCAGCCCTCTGGCCCAGGGAGCCCACCTGCTGCCGCTTGGCTAGAGGCAGATTGGCAGGGCCCAGGATGCGGACAGAGCTGATGACCCTGCGGAGCTTGGGGTCAGTGAAGTTCTGCCAGATGTCGTCAAATAGTTCCTTGGCCTTGTGGCCCCAGGTCTCAGTGAATTCCTGGCTGAGCAGGGCTGCCTCCTCCTGTGGGCACCAGGAGTTTATGAGGGGGCATGCACGGAGGCCACCCTGCCAGGGTGGAAGCAAGGTCAAGGGCACTCTGACTTCTGCCCTTTAGTGCCCCTTGCCCTGGAGAGGGGAGCTTTTGGGATTTGAGGAACAGCGTCCCTCCTCCTGGACCCTCTAGGACAGGACGTGGGGGATGTGCCCAAGGGAGAGAAATCTGGGACAGCGAAGAGGCAGAAGGAGAGGCAGGGGACTAGACAGGACCTAGTAAAAGCAGGAGCAGAGTTCTAATGGGAGAAGACAGCTGTCAAAAAGATGATTGTCCCAAGGCATACAGGCACCCTCAGCTCAGGCCGCCATCTGGGGAAACTCGATCTCAGCTTCCATTCAGCACCGATATGGGCAGGCGCCTGTGCCAGCACCATGCTAACACCCACCACTGGTCCGCTAGGGGGAGTGGGCGTAGGGGTAATAGGGATGCAGGTCCCAGGCCCGGGGCGCCCCGCGCTCCCCGCCGCCGCCTCCCCATCCCGCTGCGCCCTGCCGCCGCCGCAGGCCTGTGATTGGCCAGCCCGGCCCCGCCCCCGCACCCCGGGCCCCGGTGCCCACCTGGCGCTGTGCATTCTCCCTGGTGATGTTGGTTTCATACGCCCAGCTGGCCTCTGTGTCCTGGAAATGTATCTCTTCAGCACTTGAGTTGAAGCTTTGCGCAAATTGCTGCGCCCCGGCCTCATCCCTGGAAAAGTTTCCCGGCTGCAGCAGCAGCGAGGGTTCGAGCGTCGGCGCGGCGGGCGGCGGGAGCAGCAGCAGCGGCAGCAGCAGGAGCGTCACGAGCGGCCCCGGGAGGCCCGGCGCGGCCCCCATGGCGCGGGCGCGGAGAGGTGCGGGCGCGGCCCCCATGGCGCTGGCGCGGTGCGGCGAGGTGCGCGGCCGGTGCTACCCTTCCCCGCCGGCCGCCTGCGGTTATAAAACCGCCGCCGACACACCCCCCTCTGCGCCGCCTCGTTTCCTCCTGGCTTCAAAGTCCCCGGGCCGCTGGGGCCTAACGGAGCGGGGGCAGGGACCCGGGCTTCCTGGCCCGCCCTGGGCAGGGGCGCCCTCCCGGGGAGGGGCCACACGCGGCCTGGGAGATGCGTCTGGGGCGATGCGCCCGGGGCGGTGGGCTGAAGATTCGGTCAGGCTGTCACTGGGGGAGCCACGTTGAAGGACTGTGTCGTCACCATCACAGAGCACACGGGCTCAGCCTCTCCATCTTCCCGGCCTCTCTGGGCTCGGAGTGACGAGGGCAACCGAGAGTGTAGCGCGGGGGTTAAAGATCCCTCCTCTTTCCAGGTCCATCTCCGGCCTGGGTCTGCTGGGGGTGTGGCCTGCATGGGCTGGGGTCCTTTAGGGTCAGCACCCCCCTCCAACCTGGGGAGGTGAGGCTGGACACCAGAGCAACGCAATCACCTGGTGACTTGCATGGTTGGGGTCGCAGCTGCCAGGAAAGGGGGAGCGTGTGGAGGGGCTGCTCCTGGAGGAGGCAGGGGAGACTGGGGAGCTGGCACGCTTGCACCCCTCGCTTGGGGGTCGAGCTGTCAGCAGTTCACGAAGGAACAATTAAACAACACAGAACCTCAGAATCTCAGGTGTGTAGACGGAGAGCTCAGAAAGCCCTACAGTTTACAACCCTCCCTTATTTTCGGATGAGGAAATGAAGGTGCAGACAGATTGAGTGGTTTGTTACAAGTCACCTCACGTCTTCACACTCATCCCCTCCCAGTCTGAGGTGGTCTCACTGCAGAGTGACAAGGGGACGGGGTAGTGGCCACCTTAACTCCTCACAATGAGCCTGTCTCCCTAAAGGTGAAAGGATCTTAGTAGCTGGCCTTGAAAATAAGGGGCTGGGCAGGGAGAGCAGGCACCCAGCCAGGACAGCTGACCTTGGGAGACCCCAGCCAAGTCAGCTGCTTGGGGCCCTAAAGATCGCTATGGTCCCTGGATACCTGTGTGTGAGATGGCATCTGGGGCTCTGAGGAACATGACGTGTGGCACCATGTGACTCCAGAAGGCCCTGTGAGTTCCTGCTGAGCTGTCACAGGATGTGGTGCCTGGAGAAGTGTGTGAGGGAGGATGAGGATGAAGGTAGCGGTGAGGAGGCAGGTGCAAAGAAGGAGGAGGTGGCAGCCACCCCAGTATCTTCTGGATGCTGGAGGAGAGGAAAGCCAGCTTTCCCCACCTCTATCCTGCCTGTGCCTATCCTGTCCCACTCTGACCCATTGGGCTGGCTTAGGGGGTCAACACGAGAGTGGGGATGCACACAGGTGCACTGGGGCTGACTCAGTGGACACTGTGGGGGCTGAGCTCTTCTCACAGCCTCCTGGCTCTCACACTGGTCTAACAGCTTGGTTTAGTCTTTTATGAGAGGTGCAGTCTTGATGGGGGTGGGGGTGGGGGGGGGGGGGGGGTTGGGGGCTCCTCTCCCTCCAAGTTCCTGAGGAGGCTTGGCAAGAGGAGGGATTTTTGAGAGTGCCTCCCAGACTTTGGCACTGCAGGCCAGAGAGGGGGGCTAAGAGAGGAAGATGGGGGCCTTGGCCACAGCTACTATCAGCAAAGATACAGCAGGGCCCAGGGAAGGCAGATTTCAGCCTGAAGAACCACAAGCAGCAGGGGCTGGAACAACAGTTGGGTTCTTTCTTAAGCATGTTCTAGTGTTCACAGTGTGGGTCAGCTTCATTGAAAAACCATGAAATTGAGAAGCCAGATGGAGTTGGGGACAAACTCTAGCTCCCCTGATTACAGAGAACAAACTGGCTCTCTCCCTTTCCCCACTCCCCAACCCTATTCAAGTTGCATTTTATTGCAATGACTTGTTGAGTGGGATCCTGACTCCTCAGTAAACCATAAGCTCCTGGAGGGCAGAAACCACATCCCCTTTTTCTCTGTTTTTTTTTTTGTTTTTTTTTTTTGTTTTTTTTTTTTTTTGCAGAGGGCAGCACAGTGTCTGGCACTAAGTAGATCCCTTTAAGGAAGAAGAATGAGTGAGGAGTGAAAGAATGATGGTGGTAAGCTCAGGCCCCTGCCAGAAGGCAAAGGGCCAAACCTCACTATGTTGTAATTTGTGATAATGTTGATACAGCAGACTTGATCCGAATGACTAAAAGTTAAAAATAACTTCTAATTTTAGAACCTTACTCATGAGTATTGTTGTCGTTGCCCAGTTTGCTAGTTGTGGTCAGTTGGTTCCCAACTCATGACAGTGCCATACACAGTAGAAAGAAGGCTGCCTGGACTTGCTCCATGCCCAGGATGCACTGTGGTTCAGAACATTGTGATCCACAGGGTTTCCACTGGCCATTGTAGGAAGCAGGTTTCCAGGCCCTTTTTTTCTGGTCTCTCTGAATTTGGAAGCTCCACTGAAACCTCTTTAGCATAGGAGCAACCCATAACCTCCAATGGCAGATGGGTGATGGTTATGCACTGACCAGGAATCAAACTGGATCGCCTGAACAGAAGATGAAATTCTATCACTGGCCTTACTAATGATATAGTAAGATAACACTAGGAGAAATGTACTTCCTAAATTTCTTCATGTAAATGATTTAATTTTATATTCACAATAACTTTGATAAGTGGAAGAGAGATAAAGCCCTCTGGTGATGGTCAGTTAGCTACCTTCCAAGCTTCCAGCCCAGCAAAGGAGAGGGATTGCAAATCCTTCTGGAAGATGAAATTAAGATAAGACCAGTGCAAAGACTCTCAGGAGAGCAAACTTTTTGACAGAGGGTCTCCCTATGACTAATCGGATCTGTCCAAAGAAATGCATTTGGCTTGAGAGATGTCACCATCCTTCTATCTTACTCCTGGAGAAGGCTGAGTCACTAATTACTATACTTTGAGAGAAATATTTCTTGAAAAGAATATGCTGAAGAATGAAATAGAATAGAGTTCAGAAATAAACCCTTTTTGTGGGTTTTTTATGGGGAAATGCTTTTTGTTTTGTTTTGTTTTCCGGGATGCCAGGACAATTAAATGGGGGAGATGTGGAGAAACTCTTCAATAAATGGTCTAAGAACAATTGGATCAACACCTGCAAACGAATGAAGATGGAGAACCCCTACTTCACACCATGTACAAAAATGAATTTGAAATGGATTGTAGAACTAAATGTTGTTGTGTATCATCAAGTCTGAACTGACCCATAGCTGACCCTTTGGTGAATTTTCAGAAGTAGTAAATCGCACAAGAGGAGACTGCCCATCTTTCTTCTGAGGAGCAGCTAGTGGATTTGAACTAGATAGATTTGTGTTGGTAGCACAATTTCTTACCACTAAACCATCATGTTGTTCCATACCATAGAGTCAGAACTTACCCAGAGCTGACTCTCTGGTGGGTTTTCAGAGGCAGTTCCTCACATGGGAGGAGATTGCCCATCTTTTGACCGTGGAACAGCTGATGGTCTTAAACCGTGTGCATTTGGGATTGAAGCACAGCTTTTTGCCACTAGGACACCAGAGCTCCCTCTAAACCATCATAGAAGAGCTAAAACTATAAAATTCTCAAGAGAAACAAAAATAATCTTAAATAAGAATTACTTTGGCACAAGCAACAATGGAGAAAAATAGGTAAGTTAGTCTTCATAAAAAGAAAAAACTTTAAAGCAAAGGTTGATTCCATTTTGCTAGCCTTCTGACCTTAGAATATGTCTTTGTTTTGCAGAAAATAATAAATAATATGGTTAATGTGTACCATTTGTTATTGTTATGTGCCATCAAGTTGCCTGTGACTCATAGCGACCCTATGTACAACAGCTTTGAAGCCTGCCCTGTCCTGAACCAGTCTCACTGACTCTGACACACCTAAGCACCCATTGTCTTAGTTACTGTTATCAATCTGTCTCATCCAGGGTCTTCCTCGCCTAGGCTGTCCCTCCGCTCTTCCGAGTATGCTGTCCTTTTCCAAGGACTGGTCCCTCCTGGCCATCTGCCCAAAGTATGTGAGATAGAGCATCAATGTTTATTCTTGGACATAGTTTTATGACCCACCTCAGGAGAGAAAACATGAAGTACTAAAATAATGGAAAAATAGCTCCAGGTCCTTCAAACTCCTGTGACTATCCCTCACCTGTCAGTGTAGAATGAATGGATCAAGAATGTGAATAAACCAATCTACAGAAGGGGAGGAAGTAATCACAAAACATATACATTTAATAAGGGAACAGTGTTCAGAATAGAAAAAAAAGAATTCTTCTAAGTCAGCATTAAAAAGACAGATATCTCAAATTTTCAGAATGGTCAATGTAAACATTTCTGTAAGGAGATGTACAAATGACTAAAAAGCACATGAAAAGATGCTCACCTTCATTAACCATCAGGAAAATTCAAATGAAAACCACTATAAATACCACTTGCCACTCACTAACATAGCTGCAATTTTTTTAAGGAAAAAAGCAATTGTTGGTGAGGCTATATAGAATTGGAACCCTTACACATTGTTCGTGGGCTGTGAAAGTGCAGATACTGTAGAACACAGTTTGGCAGTTCCTCAGAATGTTGAGCATAGATGACCTGTCCAAAAGGGTGCAAAGTTCCTGTTAGAGCGAGAGAAAAATGTGGAACATAATGCAGATTTATTAAAAAACACACAACACATACACAACCAAACTGAGCTCACTTCTCTAATAGAGACTGGTAGGACCTCCAAGACCATGACCTTGAATCACCCTTCAAGCCTCAAACTGAAATTATTCTTGGAAGAAATGGGCTTCAGACTGGTCCATCTTCAGAGTTTTTGTTGTTGTTGTGTATTGTAGAGTTGAACCAACCCTTAGCTGACCCTCCAGCAGGTTTTCAGAGGCACCAAATTGTACAGGAAGAGATTGCCTG